CAGCACCACGCCCGACCGCCTTTGTCTTCCCAGTGGCGATGATTTTACACACCACACCAGGTACTCATTTGAGGCTGAGTCGACCTAGGGGAGGCCCAGGACCGGTTTAGATATTCGTCACCGGTGAGCGGGAATAGAACTCGGGTGGCCGGGTTCATCGTGCGCTAAGCACTACACTACCACTCCCCGCTACACTACACGCATACATGATATGAGAAATGTATTTTACTTGATAAGATGTTTGGTTTAAGTGCATCGTCATCATCATGTATAAAATTACAAAGTACACATACCGTTTACATGAATCGTGTGTTTGTGTAAGGGTTCCCAACCTTTTCAACGGACCAAACCCCACGTACAATCCCAATGCAGGCGTTTGAAAGACGCCAATTGAGTGAGCCTCCTCGTTCGTGCAGATCGCATCTCACAATCGGCGAGGAGGAGCCACGCACAAGCGGGAAGGCCAACAATTGCCCAAGCTCTGCAGTCCTCTGACATGTTCATGTTTCTAGCCTATTACTGAGTGGGATAAAACATTTTTTTTGTCACACGTGGGAGCAAACCGGAGCACCTAGAGAAAACCCACGCGTGCGAGGGAGCAACGCGATATAGGCGCGCCACGGTGGCTAGGAGATGTTGACTACCTCGCCTCGTGTACAGGAGGTCGTGGGTTCGATCACGACCCTGACGCCTGCTGCTGTACATTTGGGGTTCTCTCTCCCCGTGGTCGTGCGGATTTTTCTCCGGGTCCTCCGGTTTTTCCCTCCACATTTAGAAAACTGCGTTTAGAGTATCTGGCTCGTGGATTTTTCTCCGGGTCCTCCGGGTTTTCATTTAGGAAATGACGTCATGTGATTTTGGACGATTTTTTACCCCCCCCCCTCCCTCGTCACACGGCGTCACAAAAAGTCAGATCCCCCCTCAAATATGACGTCACAAAGCTCTGCCCCCCCCTCCCCCCCAAAAAACACATGTTTCAAATCGCTTTAAACTATTGTCATTGTAGTGCGTGTTTAATGTGGCGCTGCACTCTGATGTTGTAGGAGAAAACATTTATTAAAAGTCTAATTAAGTAGAACGTGTTGTCTATATTTATTTAAAGTTGCGCATTTTGATGTGACGTCACATTTCTCACCCCCCCCCCCTCGTCACACATCGTCACAAATGTCTGACCCCCCCACCCCCCCGTGTAGGTGCGTGACGTCATTTATGGACTGTCCCGAAGCCGCTGAGTTGTTGGTGACCAGGTCGCTTCTGAAAAAAGAAAGAGCCATACAGCTCAGTGGGCCTTACCTGGTAAAATAAAAAAAAAGTTTTAGTTCATAGTTTAAGACCCCCCCCCCCCCCTCCTACAAACATAACTCAAAATAACAGATGGGACGTATAACTGTAGTCCACACTTTTCTCTCCTGCCTTCTACTGGCGAGCCAGGGTTACGGCTCACCCCGGACGCCCACAGGAATTGGGAGTTTCACAACATCTGTATTGTGACTCACCACCAACCCTGGCCACCTCGCATGCATGGCCACCAACAAATTCCAGCAAAAACAAAGATCGTTATTGTTATCATGTACTTGCGTTTTTGCCCGTCCAAGGAGGGGTGTATATTGCAGTAAATGTGAAATATTCACTAGAAAAATTGTTCGGCTCATGATTATTAATGAGGTGGGGGGGGGGGGAGTTGCCCCATGTGGAGTGACGTCACCCGCTAATGGTTATTGGGGAGGGGTGCGGCATGTGGAGTTACGTCACCCCCTTATGGTTATTGTGGAGGGGTGCGGCATGTGGAGTGACGTCACCCGCTCATGATTGCTAATGAGGGGAGCGGCATGTGGAGTGCACGACGTTCTTGTGCGTTAGTGTCCATTTCCACGTGGGCATGAATATTAATGAAGGGGGGGGGGCTCTTTTGCTGTGACGTCACGCACGGATGTAGCACTGTGCTGCGTAGATTTATTTTTCGCCGTCACTTTCTGTAAAGAGATGTCGTCATAATTGAAGCGACTTTGCGTAATAAATTATTTAATTCAGCTCGACCTTCCTCTGCGTTAGTGTAAAAATCCACCCACTCATGAATATTAATGAGAGGGGTGGGTCTCATGTGGAGTGACGTCACGTGGGGGTGGGCCTCATGTGGAGTGACGTCACGCGCGGGACGGACAGACATTTCTGGGTGATTATAGTGGGTAATGATTTTCGCAAATGGTAGCGGACTTTTGCCAACTTTTTTGTATTTTATCAGATACGAATCCGGATACATTGATGTACTGTCGGAAATATCTCACGAAGATTTGGCACTGTATGCAAAAAAATTAGTTTTGTTTTTTTACAATTCTTGCTCTTAATTTGATATACAGTATTGTGTATATGTTGCTACGAGTAAGCATCGACTGAGGGCCAAATTTCAGCTTTCTAGGCCGTTCAGATACTGTATATCATAGCATTTACATAACCCACAACCGTCTCCGTGTTCCTCATGGAACACGGATTCAATAATTCATAACCCTATAGATTGAAAAAAGGATTTAAAAAAAAACCCACGTCCTGCTGTCGGTGATGGCCATACTTCACCAGGCTGGTCAGCGCTGGTTGAAGGTTCTGGGGGAGTCGGGTGCCACCGGCGTTGGCTGTGGTTAGGGATCGAACTCAGGTAGCAACTCGTCACTGCTTCACTACGAGTGATTGATTTTCGTACCACGCGCCTACAAAATACACGCATGCTGTAGGGCACAAATACACAAACGTGTGTACCATTATTGACGTGCATCACGGACGTCTCCGCCTTTAAACAAAACGAATGTCGGGGCAAATGCTGTTCGCTGGCTCCTATTGGGGCCCGCACGGTACACGGGATGGGTTTGGTGGCCAGCACCACCTCAGGGCCGCCTTTGTCTCCCTCGTGGCGACGTTTACACACAATGCCCCGTGCACTTATTTAAGGCTGAGTCGACCTCGGGGAGGCCCAGGACCTCGCTTAAACAATCGTCCACCAGGTGCTGTTGACCGTGAGCCGAGAATCAAACCAACTCGGGGTTGGCCCCGGGCGGGGTTTCGACGGCGCAGCGCGCTAACCGCTGCGCCACCGCTCCCCACCCAACACCGACAGGGAAGAGACACAGAGACAGATACACAGAGAGACAGAGACACAGAGACAGACAGAGACAGACAGACAGAGACAGAGAGACACAGACAGAGACACAGAGACAGACAGAGAGACAGAGACAGACAGAGACAGACAGACAGAGACAGAGAGACACAGACAGAGACACAGAGACCGACAGAAAGACAGAGACACAGAGAGACAGAGACAGACAGGCAGAGACACAGAGACAGACAGAGAGACAGACAGAGACACAGACACACAGACAGACAGAGACAGACAGACAGAGACACACATACAGACAGAGACACAGACAGACAGAGACAGACAGAGAGACACAGACAGACAGAGACACAGAGACAGACAGAGAGACGTTGCCAGCAACTGCAGAGCGAGCGACTCAACAAGGCACGCAACGCGACGATAATGAACGGAGGGGGCGCACCCCCCCCGCCCCCTCGCTCCCATCGTCATTGCAGACTCCGCTCTTGATTTGCCGCTCCGTGCCGTGACGCCGCCCCCCCCCCTCGTCCCTCGCGTTGTCCCTCGCCCTGCAGAGGGAAGCACTCCCCCCCCACCTTCCCCCCCACCTCCCCCCCCACCACCTCCCCCCCACCACCTCCCCCCCCACCACCTCCCCCCCCACCACCTCCCCCCCCACCACCTCCCCCCCACACCCCCCACCTCCCCCCCACCCTCCCCACCTCCCCCCCACACCCCCCACCTCCCCCCACACCCTCCCCACCTCCCCCCCACACTCCACCCACTCTCCCGCCCTGTCTGGAGAGATGCGATCCAAGTGCCGCTGCTGCCGCCGCTGTTGGTGGTGATTCTGTCGTGATTCTGTCTTCCAGTGGTTGTTGTTGTTGTTCTTGCTCTCTCAGCCATCATCCAACCATAGACAAAGACGACCACCACCCACCACCACCCCGTATAGACTCAGAGTGTTGGGGGGCAAGTGCTGTTAGCGGCACATCCATCCACGCGCCACCGTCAACTCACTCCGGCAAAAGCGACGACTCTTCTTCTCGACGTGACTCTGCCTCCTCCTCCTCCTCCTCGCCGTCCTCTGTGACGATGTGCCGGTCATAAAGACGCCCGGGGAGACCGGGGCACCGTCTCGTCGTCTCGTCTTGCCCGTGCCGCGTTCCGTGCGAGAAGAGGAAGAAGATCTCCCGTGCGCGTGAGAATAACTCATTCCGCCTTCTGCTGCTGCTGCTGCTTCTTGCCACGGGAAAGTGGACTTCAGGGGAAAGCCGCAGTGTGGTGTGTGTGTGTGGACTAACAGGCAAGCTTGTTTAGATTTACTTACAGCCTGCACACACACCACATACACAACACACCACATACACCACACACAACACACCACACACCATACACAACACACCATACACAACACACCACACACACACCACACACAACACACCACACACACCGCATACACCACACACAACACCACACCACACACACCACACATACACCACACCGCACACACACCACACACACAACACCACACACAACACCACACCACACACAACACCACACAACAACGAACCACACACACCACACATACACCACACGCACCCACACACACCACACACAACACATCACATACACCACACACAACACACCACATACACCACACACACCACACACAACACCACACACACCACACACAACACACCACACATACACCACACACACACCACACGTACCCACAAACACCACACACAACACACCACATACACCGCACACACCACACAACACCACACACACCACACACACAACACGCGCGCTCACTGCACCCACACACACCACACACAACACATCACATACACCACACACAACACACCACATACACCACACACACCACACACAACACCACACACACCACACATACACCACACACACACACCACACGTACCCACAAACACCACACACCACACACACCACACTGCACACACCACACAACACCACACACACCACACACACAACACGCGCGCTCACTGCAGCAGTCTTTGCGAGTGCCCGCTCGGGACACAAACCGGGGCATCGCGACAAGAGTGGACTTGATCATTTGAAGGTTTTCTCCCTTTTATTTGTTCATCGAGGACCCATCATCGGGAGTCGTCGACGACAAACGGGATGCGCTGAAGACTTGGAGTCAAGGCAGCGCTCGTCCGGTTTTGGACTCGCAAAAGCGACAAACTTTTTTTCTGTTCGGGGATACAACTCGCGGCCATCCCACTTGCTACGCTGCATTCAACCGCAGTGACACAAAATCTTACTCGCCCCCCAAGACTGACCGCAAGCTCAACGCTGAACACCAAAACTCAATCTGCAACGGCGCCCGCTTTATATATATCCACGCACCGTCGACAGACGCAGGACCCCCTTCAACAAACGCGAGAAGAAGGACTTCCACAAATTAACTGCATCGAAGGGAGGCTCGGGTGTGGTGCAGACGAACGGGAGTCGCAGTTTCGCGTCATCATCCGTTCAACATTTAACTCATCCCATCAATCACCCCCCCCCTCGTTCCCTACATCTCCATCCCCTCCTACTCCACCAGGACCACCAGCACCACCACCGTCATCATCATCACACGCTGGCCAGCATGGAGGAGTGGAGGCAATGCTGCCGTTGGCTCATTGACTGCAAGGTCCTTCCCGTGAGCCATCGAGTCACCCGCTCGGACGAGGTCTTTGATCTCGCCCAAGCGCTCAGAGATGGAGTCTTACTTTGCCAGCTTCTCCACAACCTCAACCCGCAGTCCATCAACCTCAAGGAGATCAACTTACGCCCGCAGATGTCACAGGTGAGTCGGGTTTACGCGGCCACGCGAAGCCGCGATTCGCGGTCAAGCCGGAATTCGGCGATAATGAGAAATCAACAACGTAACGCTGAACAAATCCTGTACCTACGTTGCACTTCTTTCGCACCGTACGCAGCCAACCGTGCTAATTAATCGGAGGTGCGGGGAAACGTGCAGTTGAGCTGTGTTCGCGGTGGTTCAGCGCCTTGCGCGACCAACCGTGTGCCACCTGAATTGTGTCGATAACTTGTGGTCTATCTCGGCCTTTAATGAGTTATATATATAGTACATTGGCGCTGTGTGTTCACATCGGCAGCGCGGGGGAGACAAAAGCGGCCGGGCGTGGTATTGACCACGCAACAACCACAGCGCTCGTCTGCAGCAGTGCCCGTTATCATTTGGCGTTCGGTGCTAGCGGTTGTGCCCAAGGGTCTGTGTATGTCCTTTTGTATATGCACACACACCCGTGCTTATATGCTTCCAGAATAGCGCTTTTACTTGATTGTTTATACGCTTAAATCGGAAACTTGGGGATGTTATTGTATCGATGTGCGTGTTATTTTCTGGCAGTCGTTTGGTGAATTATTAAAATAAGAGCTGGCACGGTTGGCATTACAGGTGATATAATTGCCATTCACCCTGGCTTGTTATAAAACCCACAATGTCTGGGTCAGTCCTGTGACCCTCCAATCGGACCTGCGTGTGGCTTCAATGTGCACCTTCAATGTGCACCGATCCTGGCACACATTTTCTGAGTATATCACCAGTACTTCTCAGTGGCAAACACTCAGGTGTTGCGTCTGTCTGTGTGTATTTGTCTTACAAGCTTAGCCACGCCGGTTAAGGTCCTGGCCATGATGGTCAGCAGACCAAACAAATTGGTAATTCAGTATTTAAACCTGACCAGAGCCTCCTGTAGGTTGACTCGGTCAGAAATGAGTACATGATGTGGTGTACCTAACATTGGCAGATGGCATGGGAGGGATGGCACATGTGATGGGCTGGCCACACCAAATACATCTCAAAGTGTGCCATTCTGACCTTAATAGGTAATCGCTAACAACAAATGAGCCAACAGTTCATCGTACCTAGTGGGGTGAAAATCTATCCTGCCACAGCTGTCCAATTATTCTGACTGTGCAATACATTAACTGTCTCATTCACCATCTCGTGAAGCCATCAGCTGGATATCGAACCAAATACTTGGTTGCCGCACAAATTCCGCACGAAAGAATACACGTCGTGTAATTGTGAAAATACTGCTGTCAATTACTTGCCTTTTAATTGCTAAGTTAAACTGTTTATTTTGATTTGTAGGCTAACCCACAGCTTTTTGAAAGGGCGTTGTTATTGGGGTTGTGGGCAATTGTCAGATTTAATAATTGGCTTATACCAACAAAACACATTGCTGTTTATATTTTTAGCTCTTTCGGTAAAGTCACGTTGAAAGGAAATAATAAAATAAAAAAAATATATAAAACAATAAAATTCTCACGACGTTTCGACCATAACACAAACGGTCATAATCAGGTGATGACCGTTTAGTGTTATGGTCGAAACGTCGTGAGAATTTTAGTGTTTTATATATATTATTTTATTATTTCCTTTCAACGTGACTTTACCGAAAGAGCTAAGAATATGAATTACTGCAGTCACGAAAGCTTTAAATAAAAAAAAACATTGCTGTTTGTTTGGAAAAAAATGCCACAGGGTCTGTCTTTAATTGCCCTCGCGAACAGATGGTGTATTTTGGCAAGTGACCTCAAGACTTGCCGCTCATGCACATTGGTAGGGATAGTGCCGAGAAGTGGCACATTGTATTTGCATTGGCCGTGCGGCTGTATAACCTACCATCCCTTCATATCGACTAAGTCCGCATACCATCTGTCGATTTTGCAAGCAATAAGCTCCTGTGACGTACAGAAGCCGTCGTTGATAACCGCAAACGATCACCGTGAGCCTCCGTCACTGTCAAATTTAGGAACATTTCTAAGTGATAGAAATAACTAAAGTTGGGCTGATTGATGACTCCTCTCGTCTAAAAGTGCTGTGAGAGCAATTGTCGCCAACGTAAATGGTGAATATGTCCACGAGCGGGAGTGGGTGGGTATAAGAGATAGTTTGCATGCCTGTTTGTGTGGCCGAGTTTCCTCATTTCACCTGTGGCCACCCGGAGACAATTTCCAAGAAGGCTGCTCTTTTGTTATCTGTAGCAATAACCCCCCCTCCACGGCACTGCAGAATGCAGCCCGTGCGTACGCTGACACGCATGCGACAAAATATAAAAAAACCCCTCGCCTATCTCACCAGGAAATGGAAACACAAGCCTGGCTGATACGCTCTTTAGACCATATGCTGCAGGTACGCTCTTTCGCAATGATTAAACGGCGTAACTCTCCCTGGTGCAGGGCGGTGCAACTGCCCTGGTGCCCCATGGGTTGGAGGGACCAAAGCGCGGGGCTACGGAGAGGGGAGGGGGCGGGATGGGGGGGCAATTTTATTCTGTGCGCCAGGGCCCATGCCAACCACGCTGTGTCGCTGGTCAAACCGTATTTTTTTTTATTATGGCATATATAAATGCAGCTCGACGCTGCTTAATGTTGATTTTTACGTTTCCACCCGCTAAACGTACTCAAATGAGGACTTCCAGGACATCGCTGCAAGTTCCTGTCCACTCTGTATAGTGTCTTTCGCTTTGAGGTCTCGTCACCGTGATGTCTGTGCCCGTGCTGTTTGCTGCATTGCCGGGGCCACCGCAGACAGAGCAGGGTGGATCAGGGCCAGTGGAGGTGGCGGTGAAGACGGGGCTTGTAGTCGACGCGACGCGTGACACGCACGGTCGATGGCGCAAGCACCGCCCGCCTTGCCGCCTGGGTCGCATCGTGTACGTGGCCATTGAGCGCACAGGCGGTGCAACTGCACCAGGGCCCACTGGCCCGAGGTGCCCAGGTGCTCAGCTACAAGAGGGGGAATATTAGACTGGGGGAGGGCCAAGTGTCATTCCTCGCACCGGGACCCATGCCAACCGCGCTACGCCACCTGAGATGTCCCACACTGACACGGGGAATCCGGGGTACGCCTGTTCCCACAGTGCGCCTCCTCCCTCTTCACCTGTCGGAGAGCGTTAACGCCACTTCTGAAAAGTGCCCGCTTCGCGGAGCCGAGAGCAAAGCCTCTTCTTAGCCTTGTTAACAACGACCCACAACAATTGGGTCTCACATGCCATCAAAAGTGATGCCTTGCACTTTCCCGCAAAGCCTTTCCAACCCGTCCCGAGGAATTTTTTTTTATACAAGTATGAATTTTGCTTGTAGGTTTGGAGATTTTTTTTCTCTTCAGGGCAAGGCTTGGACAATCTAACCCGCTCTGACCCGTGCAATGTAAAGTCAAATGTTGCTTATCCGACCATCACTTATCCGCTTTGACCAACTGGGCATGGCGCAACTGGCATTTTCTATAAATGTTCGCAAATCCAACTTTTCCAGTTATCGTCCTAAAACTGTCCCCAGCGAGAGTCAGATTTGCGACTTAGTAACTGCCACCCCTCAAATTCATCTTGCAGCCGCCCTGCTCACAATTGCAGCGAATTAAATAGCACGATGGTGGACGTAGTAAGCTATGATGCGGTTGGTCATTCGGGTCTCTGTAGGGATGAGTGTTATTGATCCTCTGGGTCGGTACACGGGCCCGTGCATCTATCAAAAGCTTTTAAATGATTCCTGAACACAGATGAAGAGTACGCTTTGGCATAGCAATGTGCGCTGCCTCCGACACAGCTTTGCAGACCCATTAATTTCCTTGTGTCTCTTCGTGACCAATTAGCCTCCGCTGTAGCAAATGGATGCGAACCTGTGCCCTTTTGCAATTTAATCGCGTCCGTGCATTGGGAGGATTATGCATGAACTGACGACGTTGCACTGAATAAATAATGCACATTTGGGGTGGGTTTATTTCATACTTTCCTTCTTCAAATCAGTGTTGCTGTGGACACTGTGATGGTTACAGGTGTAGCACATAATGTCACTGTCATCAGCCATCCACTGCTGGACGTCACTCGCCACGATCCTGCGATGCAAGAGTCCACCGAGCACCTGCACACGACCTGATGTTGTCGCTCCATCTCATCGGTGGACGCCCTCTCGGACGCATTTCCGTTGCTTTGGCTGCCACTCCCGCGTTAATCTGGACCATTAGTAAATGCAAATGACACATACGTGGCATACTCCTAGGCAAGGTAAGCATTGCTTGTGTACTTTTAGATAACACATCTCACCATAGATCCTTGCTGCTGAGCACTCAAAAACTAAGTAGGATTCAGCCTGCGTAGTGCTTGGCTGTGCAACCACCATGCATAAAACTGGGGTTATAGGCTGAAGAGCCGCATTGTCATTCGAGGGCAGTGCAACAAAGCCCATTGCTGTGCTGTACTTCTATGCTGCCAACTCTATTCTCACCACCTGCTGCAACCCGCATTGACGAGCGTGGCAAAGCGTGGCCGTGCAACCTCCACGATCTGCATGGTGCGTGACGGAGGTTGACAGGAGGGCTCTGCGTGTACACACAACGCATGGGCAAATCTGCAAGCGATCAAGAGGAGGGGAGAACAGGATATGAAACAGAGCAGTCGAGCGTCGTCAATGGCATCGCCGTCGCGGTCCATACGGAGATGCTGCGGTCCATCGCTCTTCGCAGCCGTACTTAATGCTCACCCGCGGAATTTGCATTTGCAACAGAGAGAGAAGGCAGGAGCAGAGAAGGACGGGCCAGGGAGATGGAGCGGGAGCGGGGCGGGGAGGTGGGGAAGAATGATGGGGAGAGAGAGAGCTGGTATTGATAAACCATATACTTACTTAAAATAATACATTTGGGACCGTGCTTAGGATTTCGCTGCCTCTTAAGCGCTCTTCCTGCCAACCGCCGCCCCCCTCCCCGCCCGCTACCCCCCTTTCATCGTGTCTCCATAAATTATTCAAATCATAAGAAATGTATATTTCCCACGGAGC